ATCCCAAAGTTTCCTCCAGAGGGAGTTTCTGTCCCGTACACTCACCACCTGCCTGAAACGCCTCCATTGAGCTAATTTCTTTACTTCCGTAACATACTGTAGGGACATCACTGTAACACTCGCGCTTCTATCAGCTAGTGCTCCAACACTACATGAAAGGGCCGTGACATCTCTGAGCAGTTGACCAATCACAACAGAGCTGGCCAGCTAACCAATCAGAGCAGACTGGACTCTGGTTTTAGACAGAGGGTGAAAAGAGGTGCTGCAGCACAGGCAGTATGAGAAAAATAAAATACCTTTTTGAACATTCATCAAGTTTATTCCTTTCCTGCAGGTATGACAGTGGAGAACAGCCGCCTGAGTGGGGAAGAAGGGAGTAGTGTCACAGTTGAATGCCAATACAGCGAGAGATACAGGTATTTTATTGCCACATACATCCTTTTACAATTGTGTCAGCTGTATTTACCATCAGACCATGTAGAGTCCTCATTTTTAAGTCGACATTTTCTATAGCATCAGCAAAGTTAGGAAAGATTGTTATTTGTTCAATATATTTTTATATACTTTTTATTATTGACATAGTTTGTCTATACAAAAACACAAACTCTTGTTTTACATGTAGTTAAAAAGGGGTAAAGTGTGTATGTAAAGTTAGAATAATGCTGATTGAAATAGTTAACTATACTTCATTAAGGGCAGAAACACAGAGGGATATTATATATAAATATACAAACACACATAAATACATACACACATACTCATATACATATTCACACCTAAAGATAAGTTCATACAGTAAGTAAAATAACTAAAAACAACCAGTATACAGTAAAGAAAAGAAAAAACAGATTCATATTTTGGCCCTACTTCAATTTGTTCAATATCTGCCATTCTTGCTAAACTGTGATGGACACTCGCTGTGAATGTTTGCCCACAGAGAGAGTGAGAAGAAGTGGTGTCGGAGTGGAAACTGGAGCTCCTGTCTGTTGGCGGGATCTGAAGGGAGCAATGACTCTTCAGTGGACATCAAAGATGACAGATCTGGGTCTTTCACCATAACCTTTAAGAAGCTTCAGATGAGGGATACAGGCTGGTACTGGTGCTCTGCGGGACTTCAAAAGATGCCCGTGCATGTGCAGGTCAAACCACGACCCATGACTAGTAGGTTGACAAATCCAAATGAATATATCAAGTTAAACTTTATATGAACACAGGATAGAATTTAAAATTCTTCTTCTCGCCTACAAAGCCCTTAATGGGCAGGCGCCATCTTACCTTAAAGAACTCATTATACCCTACTGTCCCACTAGGGCAGGGGTCTGCAACCTTTTTGACCAAAAGAGCCATTTTGCTCCTTTTGCCAAACAAATTAATTGTCTGGAGCCCCAAAACATATTTCATAGCTTGATAGCTAATAAAGTTGTATTTATTGTTACATCATACAAAAACTACAGTTTTTTTGCATTTATTAGGTTATTTATTACGTTATATAAAACTGTTAACCTCTAATAAGAAACAAAGAACTCCTATAAGGAGAATTAAAAATAATACACAGGCCTACTTTAAAATAAATTAAACACAGCACTTGGGGAGTCCTCTGCACATTTGAAAGAAAACAAATATTATTAAAATGGGCCCACTTTGAAATAAATAAAACATATAGCTGCACCCTAAAAAAAGTTAAAGGTAGGGTAGGTAAGAATGGAGAAACCAGCTCGAGTGCGCTAGAATTTGGTGGGGTGCTAGTGGATCGCCGGAGCTGTTAGATTAACATTAACATGCTTATTGTAGTTGTAAATGCACTGCCTTGCGGCCTGTAGTAGCACCGTCCTTGATGGACCATATGTGTGGGCTGGACCTGTATTTTACAGGAAAGGAGTGAGCAGAGAGTAGAGTAGTT